GATTGTGCCCAGACTCGGAAGGCATCCAGTCTGTAAAATAAACTTATTGAAACATCTCTAAGGGTGAGATTTTATCTGTATTCAGCTTCTTATTGTATTAGCATAGATTTGCGAGTTTTATTTTGTTTTGCTTGGTAATTCATTTTGTTCTGTCTGTTACTACTTGGAACCACTGAAATCCTACTTTCTGTATTTAATAAAATCACTTTTTACTTATTAATTAACCCAAAGTATGTATTAATGCTTGTGGGGGGGGGGGGGGGGGCAGGGCAAACAGCTGTGCATCTCTCTCTATCAGTGTTATAGAGGGCAAACAATTTATGATTTTACACTGTATAAACTTTATACAGGGTAAAACAAGTGTGTTTGGGCCCAATTGGGAGTTGGTCATCTTAGTGTCAAGGACAGGAACACTTCTGTAAGCTGCTTTCAGTTAAGCCTACAGCTGTTAGGGGACATGGTTCAATCCTGGGTCTGGGTTTGCAGCAGGTTAGCGGGTCTGGCTCAGACCAGGCAGGGCACTGAAGTCCTCAGCTGACTCAGCAAAAAAGCAAAAGTAGTCTTGGCACATCAGGTGGCAGCTCCCAGGGGGTTTCTGTAATGCAACCCATCACAGATGTCATCAATGTAGCGCAAGTAGAGTAGGCGTGCTTGGGGACAAGAGCTGAGGAAGAGCTGTTCTCTCATCCCCTGAAGCAAATACTCACCAGCAACTACACACCACACAACAAAAACACTAACCCAGGAACCAATCCCTGCAACAAACCCTGTTGCCAACTCTGTGTTCATATCTGGCTGGTGAATCTTGTCCATATGCTCAGGGTTTAGCTGATTGCTATATTTGGGGTTGGGAAGGAATTTTCCTCCAGGGCAGATTGGAAGAGGCCCTGGAAGTTTTTCGCCTTCCTCTGTAGCATGGGGCACGGGTCACTTGCTGGAGGATTCTCTGCTTCTTGAAGTCTTTAAACCACAATTTGAGAACTTCAATAGCTCAAACATGGTGAGAGGTTTTTCATAGGAGTGGGTGGGTGAGATTCTGTGGCCTGCGTTGTGCAGGAGGTCACTCTACATGATCATAATGGTCTCTTCTGACCTATGAATCTATTCAAGGGACACCATCATAGGAGCTAACCACATCAGCCACACCATTAGGGCCTCGTTCACTTGCACATCTACCAACATGATATATTCCATCATATGTCAGCAATGCCCCTCTGCCATGTACATTGGCCAAACTGGACAGTCTCTACGCAAAAGAATAAATTGACACAAATCAGACATCAAGAATTGTAACATTCAAAAACCAGTAAGAGAACACTTCAATCTCCCTGGACACTCAATAACAGACTTAAAAGTGGCAATTCTTAAACAAAAAAAATTCAAAAGCAGACTCCAATGAGAAACTGCAGAACTGGAATTAATTTGCAAACTGGACACAATCAAATTAGGCCTGAATAAAGACTGGGAGTGGATGAGTCACTAAAAAAAGTAATTTTCCCTCTGTTGATATTCACCCCTTCTTGTCAACTGTTGAGAATAGGTCACTTCCACCTTGATTGAATTGGCCCATTAGCATTGACCCCGTCTTTTCATGTGCTATAATATATATTCTGCTTACTGAATTTTTCACTCCATGCATCTGATGAAGTGGGTTTTAGCCCATGAAAGCTTATGTCCAAATAAATTTGTTAGTCTCTAAGGTGCCACAAGGACTCCTCGTTGTTTTTGCTAATACAGACTAACACGGCTATCACTGTGAAACAGTATTTAAGGTAAGTGGTAACAATGTAGTTTAAGCGTCTTTTGAACATAGCTACCAGTTTATGCAAAATTTTGTAGATTCTTAGATTTTAGGATAAATCTGTATCTAACTGTTCTGTCATGTGTGTTTTGTGTGTTATAAAATTATTCATATCATGATGTACAAGACTCAAGGAAAAATAATCACATCACCACCAAATTTGCCTCACTCAAGCAAAACTCCCACTGACTTCAGGATTTCACCTACTGTCAACACGTACTCCTTTTCTTTTTGCGGATACAGACTAACACAGCTGCTACTCTGAAACAGTGTCACCAGTCATTCTCCTTTCTGTAGTTTTGCTTCTATTTCATTCAAAGTAAATATACAAGGCAATTAAACTCTAGCAGTTTATTACATGTGTAATGAGAGTTAAGAACGAGAAGAGCACCCTAATCCCATGGAAATGCCAAAACTCCATAAAAGGTGTATAATGGAATGATATATGTTAGCCTTCTTCAATTGTTTTGTTTCTGGAGTGTGTGAAGAGGAGAGCAAGTATGTGTTTTATCGATTACCCAAGACTTATGACAACTGATACAGACGCCTAGGATATCTCTACAAGTATTAGCATAATCAGTGATGGGATTGCAGAAAGGGTTTTTTATGAGTAAAAGCAAGGTATCATCTGTGTATAAAATTATTACCATAATCTTAAACTCAGACATTTGTTTCATAAGATTATCACTCAGGATTGCCACTGTTTTACTGTTGCTTTAATTTTGTTAGACACCTGGGGTTGCAGGAGTTCTTATATCACACAGACTGTGTTTTATTTAATGTCATTGGCCAACTTGCTTCCTTAGATGAAAGCCTGCCATTCCCATTTAAATCAATGTGATTAGTAAATGTATTCAAAAACAGAATCTGTCCTTCTGTATTTATCAGACTACATGAATATGGTGCAGAGAAACGTGAGTTCTTCTTTTCCTTTCCAAAACACTCTAACAAATCTTATTCATAGGGAGGTAAACTGAGTCCTGCCAGAAGAAAAAACAACTTTTAAATCTTGCTCTTTGTTCAAGCAACACCACATGATTGTGTGTGAAAGAGAAAGAACGAGAGACAGAGCATTAGCCCAAATCTAGCGAGTTTAGGGACATGACGGTCAATTGAGCAAAACTTCAATTACAGACTAATTTAATGTAGACCCAAGTACATTATTGCAATTCAATAAACATCTCTTTAGAATTAAGCGATTCCAATTTGCTTTCATTTCAGCTGTGTGCATGCATTTAGAATTTGTTATTATCCACACCAAAATTAGTCAGATTCTTTCAGAAGCACTGATCCATGCAATCCCAAAGTGACACCACTGGTGCATGGGACTAACCTCAAATCAACCACGGAAAAATGTACCTGCTTAGAAAAAAGGAGCAAGACTTGGCAAAATAATACTTTATCAACCCTTAATTATCTCTCCTTTTCAGTTCTTCTACCACCTCTTGATCTAGGTGTCTGGTACCGGTGTAACCCCAGCAACAGATGTATCAACAGCTCTACTGCTGGATACTTCATCCATCGGTATTTACAACTTGCTTTTCCAATCATCTTGCCTTCAATGGTTTTTGATCAGGAGACTGTCAGGCACCTCCCTAACTAAGGTTGCACCTAATATTTTTTTTCCCCTCTGGAGGCTTGCCTTACTGCTTTGTGAATACAGTGTGCTTCTCGATACACCTGCCTACTGCTTTCTATGTCCATTTCAGACAAGAATGACTTCTTATTTTACAAGTTTGATCCTGCAATGTGTCAAGCACCCACTCCCATTGACCTCAGGGGAACTGTAAGAACTCAGCACTTTGCGGGATCAGTTCCTTCGTCACTTGTAGTTTGAGAATCCAGCAGCAGAACCAAGACTGGAACTCAGGCTCTCCAGACTCCCAGCCTTATGCTCATTCCTACACATCACACTGCCAAAGACTGAAGACACGTGTCGATCTCTGGGATGCTTCCCCACAAATACTCCATGGAACAAAGGACGTGTATCAACATATGGGCAAGTCTCATGGTAAGCAAATTCAGTCCCAATACCCTTTGATATATATTAGCCACGACAGTTTTCCACAGAGGACTGCATCTCAAAGAAGTCCAACCCTAGCAACTAGAATATTTTTTGTTCAGACAACAGCTACCTTTATTGAATGTATTTAAATATTCCCTCTTTTTATTAAAAATGTAAAATCAAGTAGTCTTAAAACATTCACATTTGGCTCCTAGCCTCCTGGCAGTTACCCAAATTTCTTTCAGGAATAACTGTGGTTGTGAATCATTCTTGAGCACCGCCCTTTTAAGGGATTCCAAGACTGTAGTATATTGTAGCTGTGGCCAGAACAGTACAATCAACCCAGATTCAGGGGACAATAAAGGTGACTTAAAGACACCTTTGAACTCCCCCCACCTGATCTCTCCTCAGGTGCAGCTCAAGATCTGCGCCCCAGTAGAAACCCCCTTTCCCTCATCGAGGCACGTTAAAATCAAATATACAATTAATGTTTTGGGATTTTGTTAAAAAAATAAGTCTGTATGATAAATGACAGTTCACCCAGTGCATCCTGTGCGCTCTGAACCTGCCCTGTTCCTAGCTCTTTGAGCAACGTCTGACTGTATTATTTTGGTAGCTGCAAAAAAAATTCTTGGGCAGTTTCAGGCACATGGGCACAGCAGTGATACTAGATAGCACTGGAACAAAGACATGGCTGCAGTCCTCCTCCATTAGTATCGTCGCTGTGCACTTCAGGGCAGCAGATGAGCCCATCCTGACACCATTTACATAGCAGCGTAGGACACACTATGGCATCTTTACAGGATTATTTGTGCCTTATAAAATACTGTGAGGGAACAAAGCTGAAATCTAGAGGTGGTCAAACTGTTTCGTGGAAAAAAATAAAGTATTGTTAAAAATGCTTATAAATGTGTATAATGGACATAATTAAAGGGATGATAAATGGGGTGGTAGCAAGAGAAAGTTCCCCTTCTTCATTCAGTTTTTAAAAAGAGGACTGAAACTCTTCTGTAGCTTACACCCTATATTTTGCTTCAAGTGCTATAAATTAATGAAGGAGGCAGATCTTCAGGGCTGTAAATATTACACACAGAACAGCTGCCATTTGGGAGAAAAAAAGTGTTATATACACACACACACACACACACACACACAATATGCATGATATATGTGTGTTGGGTTCTTGTCACCTACCTTTCACAATTAATTCTGCATAGTTTGAAACGCCAGAGCCACCATCCGAGCGAATGACACACCGATATTTGCTGATGCTGCGCTGAGACGTGTCTGCTACGCTGACTGTAGCAGAAAACCGTCTGTGGTTGACCACCCTGGTGACCATTAACGCGGTGTCCCTTCCGTTCCACTGCTGCCAGGGAAACCAAGAATAAAACAAGTGATGAGGATGTGGCTGTAACACATGGGGTTTTTTAAACCTACTGACCCATTTTTGCTATTATATTTTATAGTAGCTCAGTTACACTTTTTTATTTACCTGAATCTACCATGTTAGAATTTACATGGGTGCAAGTTTCTAAAAGATCTCCAAATGTGCACCCACAAAATGTACTGGATACCTGTTTGTATGCACTCACATGAACGAGAACCCTTGCATACTGATGTGGGGGTTTGCATATGCTTTCAAGTTTTGCGGGTGTATTTTTGGATTGCATTTAAGTTTGACTCATTATACATACAGCAAAGTCTAGGTAGGAAGATGATTCAGACTTCCAGAGATGTTCATATGCAATGCATGTGCAAGCTTAAATAGCATGTGCAACTACCACAACCGAGCAGATTTTGTACCGCTTTTTCTTTGTGGATGTTCAGATGTGGCAATTGGTTTCAGACTAATTTGAAGACAGACCATTTGCAAAATTTGGATTGAGATCCACGTTTAGCTTTCGAACATTCCCAATTTTTGAAGATGTTCAGACCTTCCAGGATTTTGGTTCACATTCATTTTGGCTAATCTGGATTACCTATTCTCCACAACAACTGGAACTGAGGTAGGGGAAAGAACTAGGCAGATATGTGAGTAAGGCTGTGAAAATGTAGTGTCATTTTGCCAATTTCCAGCAATCAGTCATTCTGGGTGATGTCACTTTCATGAAATGCTCCAAGTTTGAAGAGTGGTAAACAATTTCTTGCTAGCAACAAAAATGCATCCCCCGCCCCCGAAACCCCTGAATCTGGGGTGAGTAGACATGTTTTCACATTACTTTAGGTTAGAAACATTTTTCTACACCTCTAATCATAATGGCAGATGCATTGGGCAGCAAGAATCCAAGCAAGCTAACGCTTAAGCAATTACACATCTCAGAGGGTGGCAAGATTACACCTTAACAGGAATGCAGATAAAATGGAACTGCTAGGATATGAAGGTGTGTGACGGCAGCACAATTAAAGAGACGTACGTTATTTTGTATAAAACAGATTACATTTCTTACTGACTCAAATGTTTCTCCCATACTGATTTTCATCTTTTCAGCACTAGATAAACTAATTTCTACCCCTATCTCTTTCTCATGTTTAGAATGAAATTAGTACTTAAATTTGTTTTAAAAGTTTTAACTTAATTCCTTAGGCTACCAAAACCCCTTTGTTAATAAATCAGGAATATCACAGCAGTTCTGGCAATGGTGCGTATATGTCTGCAGAAGCAGAAGGTTCTAGAAATATTGTTCTCTGTAGGCTCTATAATAATCATCATCATAATAAAGAAAAGGGACTAAATTTTGCTCTTAAAACCCTAATTCAGGAAAGCTTATGTTCAATTGTCTTAAATGAGCCTTGCATAAGAACACAAAAACGGACATACTGGGTCAGACCAAAGGCCCGTCTAGCCCAGTACCCTGTCTTCCAACAGTGGACAATGCCAGATGCTTCAGAGGGAATGAACAGAACAGGTAATCATCAAGTGATCCATCCCCTCATCCTTTCCCAGCTTCTGGCAAACAGAGGCTAGGGACACCATCCCTGCCCATTCTGTCTAATAGCCATTGATGGACCTTACACATGTGCTTTGCTGAATCCAGACCTCAGTTGCACCAGTGTACAACTTATTTTTAAGTACCGTTGCCTTGCTCAGACTTAACGTAAGTACAAGAGCAGATTTTGACCCTGTCTGCATTTGAAGTACATAGAGCAAAAGAAAGTCTTATTGACTTCACTGGGATCTTCCTAGTTTAACAGTACAAACTTTAGAGAAAGAGAAGAATTATAGTATTTAAAGCCTCTATGTACAAAAAAGTTGTAATTTTAATATCTGGAGCACTTTGAGAGCTAGAAATAATTAGTGTCCTCCACTGAGAAGCTGGGAGTCTCCCTTTTCCAGTTCGCTAAAGCTTCCATTTCGAACCCTATAAGACTGTGAAGCTCAGATCTTAAGTCTGTTACTGTACCCAAACTTCTGGTGCGGCCAAGCTGTGCTATGGTACAGGACATATGGAGGGATAAGACCTTTTGCTCCTCTGATCCTGGAGCCAGTTGTGGGCTGGCTCAACCCCAAAGTAACACAGAGCAATCCAGGTTGGGGGAGGGGTTGGAGCAAAAGGAATAGCCATCTTTGTACCACCTGGGTATTCAACCTAAGGGAAATCCCTAGCTGCCCCTTTAGGGCATTTTTCCAACTGCTTTGTCTGCTGGTCCTGAGCCTGGGATCAATGTGCTTTGGGGGATTGGGAGGGAAGAGATGATTCCACACAAGGTGGACACAGTCTTGATTTTTAAAATTGATTTATTATAATGGCAGGTGTTTGAAGCTGCTTGGGCATTTGATCTGGTAGGATAACTCTCAGGGGAGCCTGCTAGGGGGCAAAGGGCGAGTGAGATGATCAGAGGTGCATGATTATTATTTATTCTTAGCCTTGTGGCAATGCCTAGAGGCAGCAATAAGGTTAGTATTAGGGCTCAGTCATGCAATCTTTTACTAATGTGAATAAGTACTACTTATACGAATAAAGGTTGCAGGATCAGGCTATAGGTTTTCTATGCATGACTCAGATTTGTTACATTTTCTGTGGTGGCCCCACACAGCATTACCTTGAACTCTGAATTGCAACTTTAAACAGCTTCTTCAACAAAGTAGTTTGGAATTTTGCCCCTACCCCTCAGTTCTTCCCCGCCTCTACTCATTTTGACTATGGATGGTTAGAAGGAAAGACCACCAGCCCAAGCTTCATGGCACTTTACCTGGAGCCAGAGTTTGTCGTGCTGAGACCACTTTCCCCCGGCGATGCACTGGAATGTTGCATTCTGTCCCACGTTAACCTCCACATTCTGCAGCCGCAAGAAGTGAGGCGCTTTTCCTAACAAAAAAAATTCAAAGTATTACCCAGTAGAGCATGACAGTAATTGACGGTGTCATGCAGCCACGGGAAGATCCAGGCTCAGCAGATCAGAGGGGAATGCCGGGTTTCCCCATTGGCACAGTGTCTTCAAAAAGCAAAGCCTAGCACTACTGTTTAATTATTTAACGTGGGGAGACTGATCTTATGCGGTAAGGCCAGATGGCTCATGTACCCCTTTGGCACAATAAGAAAGTGCACTAAGTATCAGCTCTACAATAGAAGTTCACAATTATTTCTAACCAGCCAGTTTCATTACTGTTTGCTATATACTGTTTGTTCTTCTGTGAAATGGGAAAATGTCACAATTTAAAGGGTCAAACATTCAAATAGTGAATTTGCAGTGAGCGATAGACACAAGCAAGTTTTCCTAAGGCTTTTTCAGGTTCACTGATTGTGAAGCAAAACCCTGGAGTTTCAGATCTATATCATTTCGCTGTTAGATTTTAAATGTCCATTCCCTTATTCACCAAAAACAAACCATACACACACATACCACAACAGACCATTGACTTTTAGAACTAAGCAACAAAGCCAGGCAGTTTCATGTCCGAGAATTAACTGAGAGGAAAATAAAGCATTACAAGATGAGCATACAAGGCTATGAATTTTATAATATTCCAGCTGACCATTTTTAAATGAAATTCACCTGTGCATGTCACCAGCACAAGGTGTATATACTACTTCTATACCTAGGCCTTGTGCTGTTCTGAATTTTATTCTGAGTTTATTACTAGATTTAGGATCATTTAAAAAAACCTGATACATCAGTGCACATTATTACGACTAGACCTTCAATGGGCTATGTCATTTCAGAGACTATATCCAACTATATTCCCAGACAACCTCCATTAAGTACCTGGAAAAGGGTGTGGGCGTCTATAAGCCTTTATATATGCAGACCAGGTAACAGCATCTAGACACCTATTTACAAGCACATATGCTGGTGCAAACAAGTTTGGCAGACATTAACAGAGGCCAGTTGAAAAGTTGATGCATTGTATATACATGTCTGTACTATATAGTATAGCGTTTGCCATTCACTTGGATTGCAAATAGCCCAACCAGGTGACCTAAAGTATCCCTATACTATGATCTTTATAGCTGGTCAGTAGTTGTAGCAAAGTCTATTGAGAGACCAGCCTTTGGCTGAAAGTGGGTTATGCAGCCCTGTTACCTGAAACAGAGGCCTTAGCACAAGTGAACAATGTGCTGCAGCAGAAGTTATAACAGGTCAAGTGGCTGGAGAACTGAGACATCTAGTTTTCCCCTTTAGTGCATCAGTAGGGGCCACTTCTTTGCATGTCTGCTGATGTTTAAACTTGTGTCTGCCACACAAACTATGAAAAAAGCAAAAATTGGGTGAAAATAAGGGCTAATAATGTCAAACTCCTCCTCAGCACGAGTTTCCCAGCAGTGTTCTGAGTAATAACTATTGTAAAATGAATGTGAGGGGCAAAAGTCATCAACGTTCACAGAATGTGTCACTCATATTCCAAGGTGGCTTTCATTCCTGGACCTCTGCATGTGACCCTGATCAGTAGAGGGGTGAAGCATTAGGAAAGACTGCAGGGGATTTATGGTTTATATGGAACACTATATCACACAGGTTGAAAAAGTCCCCCCAAAACAGGGTCTGATGTGCATGGTTTGGGCCACTTTATACTGTTATCAGTCTCCTTTTTAAGCTTGAGGTGTGGAAAACTTAAAAACACAAGGACAGCCATACTGGGTCAGACCAATGGTCCATCTAGTCCAGTACCTTGTTTTCTGACCTTCGACAGTACAAGATGTTTCAGTGAAAATGAACAGAGCAGGGCGATTCCGAGTGATCCATCCCCACATCATCTCGTCCCAGCTTTTTGCCGTGGGAGGTTTAGGGAAACCCAGAGAAGGGGGTTGCCACACAAACTCAACTCCATCGATACAATTCTAGCAGTCAGAGCCTGCGGTCACTGAAAGGAATGGGAGTTCTCCAGCTAAGAACCCAGGATTTGTCAACCGATACCGGCCAACTTGTGATGCTTGTTAACTACACTGCTCTGTTTAAAGTTAAAATTAAGGGGGCAGCTCAAGTCCAATTCTTTTTGAATATTTACAAGGAATTTTTTTTTCCTTCGGCATTTCTCAAGCCATAAAATGGTTTAGCAGTCAGTTGTGGACAATAAATAAGCTTCCAGAATACAAGGGAAACAGAAGGCTCAGAAAGTGATTACGCTTTTAGGGCCAGATTCTCCAAGCTGCTCAGCAGGCAGCAATTCCACGGAGAATAGGAGCTGTGCGTTTTCAAAGATCTGATGCTTAATACACGAATCAGATCAGTGAAGTGTGATATTAGCAGCATTGCTGCTTCTCTACACAGATTTCATACACAATGGTGTCAAATCAGGAAATCATCCCTATTCAGTAAAATACTTAGGCATGTGCTGAACTGAATTGGGACTTGCACACATACTCAATAAATGGGATTAGGCACCACTTTAAATGCTTTCCTGAATTTGGGCCAGAGCCGGTGTCCTCTTTTTTCCTTTTTATGGCCAATAACTTTCTTGCCCAGTCGCTGGCTCATGACTGGGTAAGCACATTCCTTGCTACTGAAAGGTACCAGCCAACATGTCACTCCATGTAAGCACACCATTTGGGGGATTTGTTTGGATGCTGCCAATCAGCTGCAGCATGTGGTTAATATTGATTGTAATTATATCTTAATGAGGTAAATGCACCCAAAGGCATAGACAATGGGAACATGTCATAAATATACATATAATAAAGTAATAATGGCGATTATCCATACCTCAGTTATCAGAACTGCCCTATTATATTAAACTGGATCATGTCCCCTGACGTCTATCACATTAAATGTTAACTGTAGGAAGCTACTGTTTGTAAATTGTAATTAATCCCTGTTGTATGCAGCTCACTGAGGTTACAGTAAATAGATACATGATCAATGTGATTTCAGGAAGTGTAGCAGCTGTACTAATATACCTAGAGCTGTGAATTGGTGAGAGGAGAGATGTAAAGCACAGTAAATGGAACGGATGGTTTGCTGCCTTTCCAAGTATCACCAGGCAGATAGAAGACACTATTGTAGGAGCTGTATATGCAACATTAGATCATGACTAACAGAACTGAGGTGTCACCCAATGGTGCAATTCAATCCCATACTCTTCATTTATTGAAACTCTAAAGGACCTGGGAGCAGTTGAGGACTGCTCAGGAGAGCATGAGTCTCAGCTCAGTTAACTAAGTTGTTTGAAGAGGAAGAGCACATGAGGCATGGCTAGACTCATTAAAGGGCATGAAGTCTCTTACAATGTTTAAAAAAGGGATTTTTAAAAATTGCATTTCACTTAAATGGCCAAACCAAAACCCCAGACCTAAACAAACATGGCAAAAGTTCAGATCCAGTCAAAAAACCCAAATAGGACACATCACATATAGATAAAATTAGGGGGGCAAATACAGCACTAACCAGCTTGCACAGCGAAATGGACTTGTATTAAACTCTCTGTGTAAGCTGGTCTCTCTCACCAACAGAAGCTGGTCCAATAAAAGATATTACCTCACCCACCTTGTTTCCAGTCCACAGTAAGTTGAACGCTTTGAAAAATGATACATATTATTTAAATACCTTAATGGAACTGCTGAGTGGGTTTACACTCCATTAAAGAAGATAGCTTTGGGGTATTTGGGAATGTTGCACTAATGTGTGCAAATGCACTTTTTAAAGTTAACTGTACTATCAAAAAACCTTTCATTCTTCCTCCTTGAATGGTCTAAATATGAGCTAATAAACAATCAGAGCTTTATACTGCTTTAATAATAGAGAAAGATTTAAACAGACATTTTGGCACTGGCTGTAGATTCAGAGCTTTGCTGCCTGTTGCACAACTTGCAAAATTATGTATTTATTCCAGGCTGATTGCCTTCACTCTCTGAGCATTTTGGAAGGATAAAAGATGATGTTTTAGAGCTGATTGAATTGGGTGAATTGCTCCTTCAGGCTGCAAAGCCTGGTAGAACACATTAACATGGCTAGAGAAAGAAAGAGTGCTTACTGCATGGATGGGCAAGGACTCTGACTTCATCCACAGCTATGTACCCCGGATGTCCCTTCAAAGACACGGATTCAAATATCACCTGAAACACAGTGAGAAAAGCCTTTCTTATAAACACTAACTGCAATAGTCATTTTAACTTTTGCCTCCTCCCACCCAACCCAAGTGCCTGAATCATCTAGGATTCTCAGATTCTGTCATTCTTGGTGGGGAATAAAGACCTGTTCAGTGTGTGCACGCATATCAAGATGTACTCTCAACTAGGTTTTGCATTGAATTTCAACTCCATTTGGTATACAGAAATTTCTAGAGATTTGTGATAACCTAATTTACCTCATTACCAGGAACAGAGAACCCTTTGGCCAGTCTTTTATTTGGAATAAAGACCCACCTGAGCTGAGATTCTGTGCCAATCTGAGGCCCACTCTGGGAAGTCAGTAGACGTGGAAGGTGTACCTGTTATAGATCCTAGCAAGTGGCCCCTCGTGACTACTCACTAGGACTGATGTGAGGGGAATCCAGCCCTCTGTGGTCTGGATTCCAAGGGGTGTTTTAAGCCCCTGGATCCTGAACAGAGTCCAGCCACTTCCCCAATCTCCGGGTCCCTAGACATTCTCTCGGGGCACAGATCTGCTGTCTAGAAGCCCACCCTGAGAACTGGAACCTGTTGTCCAGCTGCCTAGCTCACCTGGAAACAGAAGTGACCTCTCAGACTCCCCCATACTTAAAACACACCCTCTCCCAGAACTCCACCCCAAAGCTGTGAAACTTCTGGATTATGTGGGTATGCAGCAGTTGTGAAGCAGTCAACACTCTTACTCCTTGTACAGAGTCTAACAAATTTGCTCTTTTATACTTCATCCTGTAAAGCACAAGAGCACAGATCATACACGACAACAAGCCTCTTAAACCACATGGTCCCTCACTAGCTTACCCTTCCCTTGTAAGCCCTTGGGGGACCATCTGGGTCCAGGAAGGCAGATAGACAGAGCATCCCATGCCTTATTCAGGCTGTTCCATTCTGACTGGCCTCTCTCCCTCATGGATTCCATCACCAGCTTGCAGGACCTTGCTCTCTCCTGTCCCATGCTTCCTCTTCCTGTCTGGCTTCCCTGGTCCTGTGTGTTTCTCTATTTAAACCCTTCCTGGTCACTGGGCCTCTTTTGTCCTGGCAAGTTTCCCTGCTCCCTTCTGAGGGATCAACTGGACTGGATTTCCAAGGCTTCAGGTCACCCAGTGTTCCCAGGTGTTTGCATCTGATAAGGGTCACTGAGTCCTAAGCACCCACATTGTCTCTGTCTGATATCTACCTGCTATGGGACCCGTCTGCAATGGTAGAGCCACCAACACAGAGGCATTCATGATACAGCATTTTTTTCCAAAATATAATATCACCATTTCAACCAGAATTCATAAATTGTAAGAGTCCCAGTTAAGACACAGGACACAGTTAACACCTTGTCTTTCAGATGCCCCATAGCTGGGGAATTCAGGAGTTTCTCAGGAGCCAGATCCCCATGTAACCACAAGCCCTGCATGGATTGTTTTGGAGGAAGAAATTGATTTGGCTTACATACAATTCCTGTGCAAGCAAAACAGCTGTAAAATCACAGCAATGTTAACTGGGGTTTCCAGTAGCTGGATTGCAAGAAGAGTCTTCTATACAGGGTAGTTTCTACCCTTCCTGAATCAAACCAACAGAAATGGAGAATGAAATATTGTTCTAAAAATATGATATGTAGTATCTCTACACATGCTGTATGTTAATTTTTTTAAAAAAATCTATCCTCCTGGAGGAGAGAATGTATTCAGAAGAGCTGTTTAAGAGTACCATACCGTATGGCAGTGAACATGCCCAAACATTTGGGGCTGCACACATAAAGACATCAAGTCACACAGCAGAGCAAAATGGTCTTTTGCTGTAACCCGGAGAATGCTCCTGCAATATTGTTCTCAGTTTTGGGCACCTCCTTATCAGACAAGGATAGACAGCCTAGAAGCTCAGAGAAAAGCTCAAGAAAAGAAAAACAAGCCAATGCAATGTTTTAGGAAGAAGAACTGAATATGTGCAATTTGTGTAATAAAAAGCTAAAGGATGGGGGTGGGCAGATCAGAACTGCTTGCAAATATTTGGATGGTGTAAACAACAAAGGTAAGGAGAAATTTAGCATGGTATGACTGGAATAAAGATAAAGGAAAGTGCAGGCTGAATATCAGTGGCCGTTCAGCTGGCTCTCTGCACAGAGCTAAATTTCACCCACAGAGAACATTTTTATTGATAGAAAGATAAACTGCCCCATTTGGTCAATACTTGGTCTCTTTGCACTGGCAACACCCAAGATAGTCAATGAAAGCAAATAGTCAATGGGCTTTCTGTAATCAAATAGGGTTGGTTTGTTTTGCATCTGGGCTTCCAAAACTTTATTTCTTCTCAAGTTTGCCTATCTCCCTTTTTTTATGGAAGAAAACACTAAGATTGTACTACTCCTAGTATACCAAGAACACACAAAAATTAGACCTTTTGAAATAAAAGTCCTGAAAAGACAGATTCAGCAAAAGCATTAGAAATTGTATGAAATATAAGAACAAAGGGGGCAAAGGATTTAAGATAAGGAAAGGTCAAGTACTGAATAAAGTCAGGAATGGAATTTAAATACATAGGAGAGTAGTTAAGGAACACATTACCCAAGGTACAGCAGCAACAGGATAAATTGGTAACACCAGTTATTGAAGAGTTAGGCAAATACCTGAGAGAGAAAACCACATGTTGGGGTTACACATGCAGCTTTGAAAAAGGAAAGGGTTCTTGATGAGCCACCTACTTGCATTCTAGTGCTATGGTGTCATGTAAACCCACAATATGGGACCTCTTGCTTAAGCTCTTTAAAATGAGCACGCTGTTGAAGAAACATATTGCAGTGATCAGGAAGATGACTTGAGAAATTACTGCTGCAGCTCCTTTCAAACTTAGGTTGCAAACTGTAACCTTAATATTGTTTTAATTTTTGAATACATGAGGAAGGAAGGTTCATTTGGAAAATGGTCTGCTCAAAAAGCACCTTAAACCATTTTATCAGCTTCCCTACCTTCCACACAAGGAAATTTCTTCAGAGCCCAGACAGCTCACCTTCAAGAGAACTCTTCTGAGAAGGGTTAGGCATTGCCCTTCGCTATCAGTAGCTGACAAAAGCAAATGCTAGACCACAGAAGCTTCTGTTCACTACTGTTGACTAGCCAGTGTGTAATGTCCTTTATGGCATACTGGACTGACATTGGACTGAGACAGATGGCTCAGGGCAACCACTGCTTACTGAGTTAGTAGATGAGAATCAGCCCCACACATTCTGTCCTCAGCCCCATGTTTTCCACCCCTCTCAATGATCTGAATCTGCAGAACAATAGTAGGCAAGCCTGCTTCAGAAGATGTCTCACTCTCTGCCTGCCTGCCATCGTGAACTCTTCATGCTCTAATTTCTTCCATCAATCCAAGCTCAAAGAACTTCCTTCTCCCTTTGCATTACACCAACCTAGACCCCAGCACCATGACAGCAGACCAGATTTTATGGGAGGCAGAGAATTGGGGCCCAGGGGGCCTGGAGGAAGCTGAGATGCATGGTAATTTAAAGGCCCAATTCTATATGTGACACTTTTATTTCTTAGTCCAATGGGATTCCTTACTCATTCTAAAAGTTGCAGATTTTGGCCCTTAACAGTATTTTGTATTTTAACAAACCTCTCAAAGCTCAATAATAGAAACAGACAAAATGCAAAGCTTTACACTTTTGGAACCTTCTTAAATGCCTTTGAGGATAGTAAAATCCAAGCCATTTCGTGTTTCTTTCCCAATAAACAACCCTTACATGTCACTGCTACTTTATACAAACAGTGCCTGTGTTAGCAAAGTAGCCTGGTTCATCTGTTGTACAACAACTGCTTTCTTAAGGCACAGATCAATAATGTTCTTTGCTGTACATCTCACTAGCTTTTACTGGCAGACTCCAGTACTGCACTCGGTGCATTCTGGAGCTTAGCCCATCTTTATGGCACACAATAATTCAGTGATTACACGTATAAACTCTCTCCCAGTCCTTTTATGGCTTTTCCTCACTATGCTAAACACCTATTCAGGCTGTGAATCCAAGTGTGACAAAATCTGGGGTAGCCATTATAAATCTCCACCATCCTCATATATATATGTCTCAACAGAATGCCTTTATAACTGGATAACTCGTGTAAATCTTGTGCAGGATTGCCAGCACTGAAAATGTGACCTCAGGAAATTGGCTTGATTACCAGTATTCAGATAGCCAGACTCTCTATAGCTTTGAGTAGTAGCTGAAGCTTCCTGGGAGGGTCAGGCACAAGGCAGATGTTTTTGGAAATTTATTTCTTAATGGTGGGATTTTGAAAAGCACCTAGAGGAGTTAGATGCCTAATTCCCAGCCTACTAACACAACACTGTTCCTGCTGATGACTCCAGAGGCGCATCTGTGCATTAAGAGCATCCTCCATATTTTGTCTGACATAAATTCCGTGTTTTGATGTGGAGACAAATTTTCCTGGTTGTCCGTTGCTTTTGAAACACTATCTTAAGAGTTCATTGTGAAACACTGGACATGCTTTCAAGCCTCAGTGAATCAATCTGAATTTTCTGGGCATGCACTACTAGATTAAAACTGACAGTAGGGTGGAAAGGCTTTTAAAACAAGGAATATTTCTAAGGCTCAGGATCAAGATGTGCCACTTCCTGACAACTGGGAGATGAGGAACCCACCAGGCAGCTAGGTACCCAGATTACAGCCATCTTTGAGCTCAGTCTGCCGATAGCCTCAGGTATTGCATGAGGTCACCAACAAGAGTGAATGGGGACAAAGTTTCTCGCTTCCTCCTTTTAAGTAAACAAATTTCCCTCAGTCTATTCTCCATTGTCTTGGTTGAATGTAGCAAGACCTGGGATGACCATTGGTTTATAGGCCATCAGATAGAGACAGTTTGTACAGTTAGAGACTGGTGAATCTGTGAGGTTTAACAGCCACCCTGAGAAGACTGGAAGTTTGAGCGGAGTGGGAATGACTGGAAGGACCAACCACAAAAAAAAAAAAAAAAAAAGGACAAGAACCAAAGTGCTTTCTGGCTGGAAGGGAAGAAGCCACCATGGCTCAGATTTAAAAAACAACATCACATCCAATTACTAAAAGCAAGGGGAAAAGAAAGTACCATCTGCTGTTGTCAGTCCACTCAGCTGTGGAATGTTATCTGCCTTTTGCATAATCTCATCTACAGTAATTCCTACCCATTTGTACCTCTGATCAGCAATTTATGTACCTCTCCTACAATGTATAGGTGGGCAGTTCCTTGCCATTCCTTTTTGTCTCTGATAGAACAGTAAAAGTATCCTGCACGAAAAGAAAGTGCTGATTTAAGACCAAGAACGTGCATAGAAAGGAGTTTGGAACAGGCCACATGATGGTGCAGTAAACAGGTGGCTGCAAAATTAATGTAGTAAAATATAATTGAAACCTTCCACTATAATGAGTTTCTCCTGGAAAAGTCAGCAAGAGCCCAAAGCGTGGCTTGCACATTCCTAATAAAGTTTCACTTCACTTAGCCCATAAAATGGCATATTAGTGCTTCTGTGTAAATAAAATTGCAGTGGTCCCTTTGCACAGCACAGCTAGTCCCTGATCTCACAAAGCCAGCTGACTCCCAAATCCCCACCAGACAGCACTGCAGCTGCTCTCTACATCTGCCTCCCTTCTTTGGGCGAACAGTTTCTTTAGGCTAAATAGTCCTGAACCACCGACCTCCCTTCTTCCTCTAGGGAACCATTCCAGAAGAGTAGAGTGCTACCTGCACTTGAGTATACAGAATTTATCTGCTGCTTACAAATAGAGCTGCTGGTGTGAAAACCGGCTTAGCTAACTGAAGCCCAGTCTCTGTTTGGGGAAGACTAATAATGAGACAGCAACTATGAAATTCCAGCCACATCTGGACTTGATCAGCATTTCTAACATCTTTCACCCAGGCAACTCTCTGATGCCACTGAAAAACCCCTGATTAACAACTGATGATGTCTTGCTGGCAGCAAACAAAAAATCATGGCGGACTGCATTAAATCTCCCAGTAGCCCTGGATACACTCAGGTGTTGGCAACAAGACAGTAGCTTCTGGTGGGGATGCTTTTGAATGAGTGCACAGCCCTATATGAAAGGGCCATAGCCCAGATTAGACAACTGTCATGTGCTCCTACTTGACTGAAATTGATGCAGGAACTTGCGCAGCAGCAGAATGAGACTGTCCACTTGCTCCTTGTGCTAGGAGTGCCCACTGTTATGTCCACACTGTCCACAATCTGCATGGAATGCTGGAAGGTCAAAGCATGTAGTTTCAGTTCAGGATTGGTATATAAAGCACCTCACAGTCTAAGGTTTACGAAACTTGTCTATTCTTCTCTAACTCTAATTCCCTGCCCATTTGAGGCTGACTTCTGGGAAGGGTCTGTTCTTACTCTTTTCAGAAACCAGGACTGGGATAGGATGCAATGGGTTTGCTGCTCTTAGTCCTGTTCCCAGCGGACATATCACAGTTCTGTGTCCATACCACAGAAATCACCATCATCGGCACTCACTGGAGTTCAGATGGGCTAACTTTCATTCAGCATGCCCTCCAATCTGAAAGGGGCCTGGGTTTTTAAACTAGCAGGACTATCAATCTTGGTGGGAGCTGGCACAGTTCCAGCAGATGTAGTTCTGACCTACCTCCTGCTCTTGGGGACAGGAAGAAGAGCTTGAGACACCAGAGAAGAAGTTACTCTAAGACTCAGGGAAGGAGTCAGCTAGGCAGCAGAGGCAAAACTGTGCCACAAGCAGCCCTTATTCTAAACGTATTCCACTTTATTTAGCAAGTTTACAAGATGGCAAAAATTGATCCAAAGATGCCCTATTAGATGCCAGGCTGCTGGTGTTAAGTTCAACTCAGAAACTCCAAGAGGGGAAGGGAGGATTCAGGAGAAAAAGGAAACAGACAAAGAGCCCACTCAGATTCAGAATCTGGGCCAAGCTTTCAAAAACAGCAACCGCCCAAATGCAAAGGTGAGTGAACAAATGTCAAGCACTCTTGCTCATGCAATCAGCTGGGGTGCATGCACAAACTGGGTTAAGTATGTGCAGATAGTTAAATGTCTAGTTAAATTTGCATATATATTTATCCAATTTTATGCAGAGCCATGGTAAATGCAGGTGGAAGGATTTACACATCCTTATTCTCAGAACACATCAGTGCTGACCAATAACTGGCTCAATAAAGCCCTCCCTCCAGGAGCTGAAAGCCTTCCAGAAGCAAGTGTGTTGAAATTCATGGAGGATAGGTCCATCAATAGCTATTAGCTAAGATGGGCAGGGATGGTGTCTCTAGCCTCTGTTTGCCAGAAGCTGGGAATGAGCAACAGGGAATGGATCACTTGATGATGACCTGTTCTGTTCATTCCCTCTGGAGCACCTGGCACTGGCCACTGTCAGCAGACAGGATACTGGGCTAGATGGACCTTTGGTCTGACCCAGTAGGACCATTCTTATGTTCTTAAGAAAGCAGCATGCTTCAAGATGCCTGGAGGCTCCCACCATACAGAATCACCATACACAAGTCCAGTTCTAAAACTAAGACTCTTTACTTGTATAAACATCACTCGTAAGAGGATATCAAAGCATGTCAGCCATCAGCAAAGGAAGCCTCACAGCACTAATTGGGTAGGTAAGCGTTCACGCCATTTTACAGATGGGGAAACTGAGGCAGGGAGGTTGCCCCGAAGAGATTCACAAAGAGACCAAGGAGCAGAGGCAGGACCAGAAATCAGGAATCCTGCTGCTCAGTCAGACAGCTAGAATAAACTGCTTCTTGTCAGCAGGTCCATCAATCCCTCCCCTCATGTCTGCATGCAATGTTGCAGAGTTTCTTCTCCTCTAGTGCCCCCTTTAGGCCATCTGCCTTTACATGCCAGTCAGCTCTCTGGCTGAAATGTGGTTATTTCAGCTCCCTTTCCAAGGTGACAAAATGTCCAGGTGTAGTCCCAAAGACACAGTAACTATCCTCTGGCTCCTGTGATCATCCCCTTGCCTTTCTCCAGCTCTGCTACTGAGTATTGTTCTGCCCAGCTCAAGTCTTCCTGAGGCCTCTAGCATCTTACCCCTTCATGGGAGCGAGCAAGACAGTCAGCCAGCAGCTTGACTCTCAACCTATTTGTAAGGCCCAGCTGCCTGTTATTACCTGATCCTTCCCTAGTCCCACCTCCCCTGGCTGACAAGGAACTACCTCATTACTACCACCCAGGTGAAGTGAATGACTAACTGGAACTTTAACCCTTTCTTGCCTGTGATGGGGTATGAGCTCATGACATATTGTAACAATTGCTCCAATATTGTACAGGGAAAAAAAACGTAAGTATTGTTATTTCAGAGCTAACATTCATAACCTCCTTGGCTAACAATAGCCCAGCCCCAAACTCAGAGCAAATCTTTGGCGGAGGAAATATTACAAACGCATACCTGATAAAAGTGTGGCCAGAATGTACTGATGGCAAGCTCAGCCTTCACCCAACCTTCAGTAACAATCCCTGACACATTCCAGATGGGGTTACCCTGTGGTCCACCATTAACCTTCACGTAGACATTCAACGAGCCAGGGCTGGAGCGGTCTCTGCTAGACAGGTAGTAATGAAAGTCGATGCAGTGAGTGTCATTTTCCTTCAAGGTGGGCAACAGCAAGTGAGCCTTCTGCCCAGATGCCCGTCCAGAGCTATTCACCATCATGAAGGAACCTAGAGAGAAAGAAGGGAAAAGGGGAAGGGAAGAGAAGAGGGGGTTTGATTTTGTTTTTTCAGAGCAATTGTATCAGAAAAGTAAATGATTCTACCTGATCTGCAGCAGTCAGAAAACAAAGAATTTTCATTTCACGGAGCTGAAGCCTCCTATTGTATGGATATAAAACTTACCAGGTAGAGATACAAGCAGATGTTGGGCCTGCTAACACCAAAGTATTATAAGAGTTCTAGTTTTGAATTTTCTTCTGTCAATCTCATTTTATATAATGGGGCAGGAAAATATTCCTTCTGATTTAAAATTAACATACATCTTTTTGGTCCAGGTTTCATATATAGGGACTTACCAAATTCATGGCCAAGAAAAACTCATCATGGACGGGGAAATATGGACTCCCCCAAGAAATCTGGGCAGGTCACGGTATTGCCAGCCTTACTTCTGTGCTGTCTTCAGAGCTGGAGAGTGGCCGCTGCAGGCTGGGCACCCAGCTCTGAAAGCAGCGTCATAGAATCATAGAATATCAGGGTTGGAAGGGACCCCTGAAGGTCATCCAGTCCAACCCCCTGCTCGAAGCAGGACCAATTCCCAGTTAAATCATCCCAGCCAGGGCTTTGTCAAGCCTGACCTTAAAAACCTCTAAGGAAGGAGATTCTACCACCTCCCTAGGTAACGCATTCCAGTGTTTCACCACCCTCTTAGTGAAAAAGTTTTTCCTAATATCCAATCTAAACCTCCCCCACTGCAACTTGAGACCATTACTCCTCGTTCTGTCATCTGCTACCATTGAGAACAGTCTACAGCCATCCTCTTTGGAACCCCCTTTCAGGTAGTTGAAAGCAGCTATCAAATCCCCCCTCATTCTTCTCTTCTGCAGGCTAAACAATCCCAGCTCCCTCAGCCTCTCCTCATAAGTCATGTGTTCTAGACCCCTAATCATTTTTGTTGCCCTTCGCTGGACCCTCTCCAATTTATCCACATCCTTCTTGAAGTGTGGGGCCCAAAACTGGACACAGTACTCCAGATGAGGCCTCACCAATGTCGAATAGAGGGGAACAATCACGTCCCTCGATCTGCTCGCTATGCCCTACTTATACATCCCAAAATGCCATTGGCCTTCTTGGCAACAAGGGCACACTGCTGACTCATATTCAGCTTCTCGCCCACTGTCACCCCTAGGTCACCACCAGCAGCAGAGAAGAAGTAAGGGTAGCAATACTGCAACCCTCCTACAACAGCCCTGAGAACCCCCCACAACCTCCTTTTGGGTCGGGACCCCCACTGTTACATAACTGTGAAATTTCAGATTTAAATATTTGAAACTGTGAAATTTAAGATTTTTTAAATCCTATGAACATGAAATGGACCATGAATTTGGTAATGCCATATTCATGTAGTAACCAGCCCTCCACAATGTGTGTACACCCTTGCATACCTGGCTCCCCCGATGGCATACCCAACAGAAAAGGATGCAGTGGGTGAGGCCCCCAGTTGCCATAAGTCAGCGTAGCACCATTGCAGAGCTGTGCCAGCTTACATCAGCACAAGATCCAACCCAACATCTCTGCATAGTAAACCTCCGAACACTGCCCTGCATTAACAGCATCCCTAGTTGCCAAAGTCCAGAAGAATTAAACGCATGAGTGTCACAGTGACATGCCAGCTAGAAACAATGCAACAAGGACAGTTAAACCACTGGTAGGAAGAACTGGACACAAGTGGCATTCAGAGTGAAAACGCTGGAGTGGGAGGTGGTATAAGATTAGAAGGGATTCATGAGTTTGTTTACCCTGGAGCTTACCTTATATAAACCACAGCAGTGGGTGTTGAGGAACACACAGCTTGCTACACCAAGCATTTTATTTTGAGACACGGTTTTAAACTTGTCTCTTCACAGACGCATCAAGGTGACAAAACACATTAGCAATGAGAAAGCCGTTAACGGAGTTATTTGGTTTGATTCTATTCAAAGAATTGGCTTTTGGTGTGGGCACATTCAGGAAAACTGGGAAAAAAAGTATTGAGAGGAGGGGAAAAAATCTCTGTGTTTCAGCAGCCAGGCATGATCATTTTTAATCAAACGCAACCCTCTTGACATTCTCAGTTCCGATACTGCTGCCAAGTCATGCCACAAATGTGTTTCTCCGCTGGCCTCTTGCAGTTCACAGAAGATTGAGTTTGGAAAGGCTCACTTCAGTTCTAACCTATAGAAGTTCCCCTTTCCTTTCTAATCCACGCTGCAGCAGTGTGACAGACACCCAGAAGAGCCAGATAAACATTTTGATCAAGTCTGTTCAGTGAACAGCCATATGCTATAAATTTATATCAACGGACACCGGCAGCTTTCCCCCACGAAATCCTTTCCTCCCACCATGTTCATACTCAGTGTCTCTCTCTCTCAGTAAAGAATCAAGAGAGGCAAGGATGCAGAAGGCAGTAAGTCTTTTATACTAAAGGGGAAAAAACATCTCTTAGGACTTTATGAAATTCAACCACAATGTAAGTAAAGATGAGAAAACAATTGCACTGAGCAACAAGAAAAGTGACAGGCAGAGCCTTTCTGGGCCATTCTAACCTACATCTCAAGGTGGTAGAAATAGGCATGGATGTTACCCAAGAAACTTGAAATTCAAGTACCCTTGGACTTTCAGAAACCTTAGATCTGAATCCAAACTTTGCAGCTGATTCCTCTCTGTAATAGGAAGACCATGCCAAAGCACAGCACAAGGTCAAATGCTGGGATTTTAAAAAGCATTCATTGTTGATCCAGTTCTGCTCCCACCAAATATAATAGTAAACAGGCTGGATAGAAATCAATGATTTTAAAAAAAAATTTCAAAAAATCAGATTTTTTTAATTTAAATCAGATTTTTTTGATAAAATGCTAAAGATAGTTTTAATTAAGATACATTGTAGCTCAGGCCAATAGAGGTTGCAGGAAGCGGCGCGGGCTGAGGGACATGCTGGCCGCCCTTCCCGCAGCCCCCATTGGCCTGGAGCTGCCAGTGGGAGCGATCGGCCGAACCTGTGGATGCAGCAGGTAAACAAACCAGCCCGGCCCGCCAGGGGCTTTCCCTGAACAAGCGGCGCCCCTAGTTTGGGAACCACTGGTCTAGAAGATACCATCAGAGATGCTTAGTTTTGCTGTTCTCAAACTGTGGATTTGTGTCTCCAGAGATAACATGCTTGTTAACAGCAAAAATGTTTTAAAAGAAAATAAATAAATAAATAATATAGAGAGGTGAGAAATAACAGACCTCAACCCTATTGTCCCTCTGCAAATTTGTGTACACAGAGTGAATCCCTTACCTCTCTCTAAAAGTGCAAAGTTTCAAAAAGTTCAAAGAATAGAAGATTGTTGGGGATGGAATAGATGTTAACAAGAAAAAGAAGTCTGGAGATAAATGTGAGACAGGAAGGACAGGCAGTAGAAACAAAAGTGAAACTGTTTGAGCAGCACATTCTGGAAGTCTTGAGGTCTTTCTGCGTGTAAGATTGATTTGAGATCTACCATACCATTCTCTCACTAGAAGGGAAAACCTATAATGGCAGGAAGCCGTAAAAGAGACCTATATTGGGAATATTTTAATGAAATTTCTCTACCTGTGGGTAAGAGAGGCATGCATGCAAAATGCAAACAGTGCAACAAAGAAATGCAAGGCCTGGTTGCCCAAATGAAACAACATCATGAGAAGTGTTCCTTCTCAGGAGGAAGCTGCGTTGAAGATGATCAAAGGAACATGTCTGAACATGCAGGATCTTCAGGATGGTAAACTTTTTTATTTCATACTTCTTTCTTAAGGGCTGCCCGTCTTCCTTCTGGACTATTCTTGAATTCTCATATTTGAGCAAAAAACATAGTTGTTACTCTATGGTACTATCATTTTAGATGCAGTTGTGATAAAAAATAAATAGCTGCAATAGGCAGATCTTCCTTTTACAATTTCACCTATAAAGTAGTACTGAGTGTCAGTGAATGCAATGAGTAATACTAAATGAACAGTATGGAAATAATAATTAAATAACTGCATTGACTTATTTTGTTTAGGAGAATCCATCTTCAACATACAGGATTCTGAAGACTTTCCACCTTCACGATCACCATTATTTTCTATAGTTTCAGAGTTACCTGCCAATTATAGTGTTTCAGTCACATCATGTATGTCACATAGCCACAGTAGCAAAAAGAAAAAAAAATCTCCATCATTCAGAAACAACCATAGATAAGTTTGTGATAAGAACCATCAGATTATAAAAAGAGGTAATTGATGAAAAAATTGTCTGGTTTGTTTATGCAACAAACTTTCCTTTCCGTATGATTGAGAACTCATGCTTCATTAACATGGTTCAGTCATTAAGACCAGGATACAGTCCACCCAACAGAGCAGATGTCGCAGGCAAATTCCTGGATGAAGTGTATGAAAGAGAAATTTAACAGTGTGCAAAAGATCTAGAGGGTAAAATTGTTAACCTGAGTCTTGATGGGTAGAGCAATATTCACAATGATCCCGTTGTACGTGCTTGTGTGACAACCGAAGAAGGGAATGTCTTCCTTACAGAAACTATTGATAAATCAGGAAATGCTACTTCTTGTAAGTATTCCGCTGTGCATGCAGTAAAAGCTATAACAAACTGAAAAAGAATTCAAATGTCTAGTACGCAGCTTGGTCACAGACAATGCTGCAAATGTATCCAAGGTGAGAAGAAATTTAGAAGAGAGTGCAGAGAGTCCCAAGCTAATAACATACAGTTGCAGTGCTCATTTGATGCACCTCCTAGCCAAAGACTTCAGTGTTCCAGAAATAAAGGCTAATATTGTTGAAATTGCAAAATACTTCCATAACAACCGCTTTGCAGCAGCTGCTCTGAAAAAAGTGGGAGGAACCAAGCTAACTGTCCCACAAGAAGTGCAATGGAACTCAGCAGTGTACTGTTTTGAGCACTGTATCAAGAACTGGCCTAATCGGATGACAGTTTGTGAATAAAATCATGAAAAAATAGA